GGGTAGTCATCAATAAAGCACACAGAAGAGTTGTAAGTACAAAAAATCACTTTTTTAAGTAGAAATCATAGCTTCTCTCAATTTTAATTATAATAGTCCCGATATTGAGGGACTGAGCTTCTTTTTACCCAGTTTTATAAGTTGATACCAATCATTATTTTCGGTCATAGAACAAAGAGCTTCATTGATTGATAAATCGATTAGAAACTAGCAAGACACAACAAGTCAGCATAGCTGAAAAAAATTTCATTGGATACAAGAATCAACCAATCGCAAAATCAAAACAGTAAAAACATCATTCTGACGGTTTTAGCAAATATAATGACCGCAGATAGCAACAGCTATATAAAAGAACAGGCACACAGACAAAAGTATTTATTTCGAGTAACGATTCAAACTTTCTAAAATGACTTTAACTGGCAAACCATTTAAACGATTAAAAACAAATGAACAATTTCAATCGAATACTCTGGTTTTTCTGATCTAAACATATATTCCTTGAGTAAACACATAATGAAGATAAGGTGAGCTCTTTGAAAATCGAATCTCTATCTTTGCTAAACAACATCAAATGCAGAATTGTATTTTCCTTCATAGGACGGTAAACATAGTTTCAGATAATGGATCTAAAGTATGGATGGGTGTGAGGTGTAGATGTGGACATGAACGTGGGTGAAGAATGTGGGATGGGGATGTATGAGCGTATGAGTGCAGGTATGAGCATTGGTTCCTGCGGAGTGTGCGTGTGGGTAAATGTTATTTTTCTCTTCTTTCACACCCACACACTCACGCATCCTCATTTCGGATGTTTTCTAACCTCCTGGACGCACCCCACATAAGAAATTTATTAAATTGTTTTTGTATCATCCTCCCTTTCGTCCACACATTATCAACATTTTCTCAAAAATCATTTCCCTAGTGTAAAATCTAACACTCAAAATTTAGAGAATCTGACTAGAAACTGGGATTCACAAAGCTCAATGAGTTTCGAGTAACTTTTTTCGAAATAATTATTTAGTAACTAATAATTAGTTATGAATTAATAATTAATTGATTAAATTTGACTCCAGATTCTGATTTTCCAGTCCTGATAAAGTACACCTAAATTCCATCGAAAGTTGAAAACGTCTACGGCTTGTCCACGTAATTGTCTCCTTCGCTGATCAAGTTTTGAAAAATCAAAAAAAAACATTTTTTCGAGTTCAGCAGATTGTTATATGTTATCACACGTAGATTTTAGCGCTGATTCCGAATTTGATATTTATTTTATAAGGAAATTAAATTTTGGCGTCGAAAAGTGAGTTTTATAATCTTCCGAAATCGTATTTTGAATTTTTTTTGCTAGAAAAGTTGTTCAGATAGAATCGATAATCACGCACCATTCGGTGCAGAATTTTATTCTCTACAAAATGGTTTATTTGGTTTTGTCATTCATAGATATTGGGGAGTCACAGAATCCGAAACAATTCCTGATTTAGTGTGTGGCTTATGAACGAAAGCTTCTATAGATCCACCTGATTCATGCATGAAAAGATGACTAAGATACGAAAGATTAAGATATCTAAAACTGAAGTCATTCTGAAAAAGTTAAGCACCTTGAACATTAAAAAAAGACTTAATGTGTCATAACGACGAAAATCGTGTCATAGTGTTACGAAAAATGTCACAGCGTTACGTCGGGACAAGCCGTCTAAAGGTCAGCAAGGTACTCAATTTTTTTTGACCTGCCACAAACACATTTCTTTTTCATATGACCCTCCCTAAAAGCAAGGGAATAGCAAAAGATAAGCGCAGATGCGGTAACCGAAAGACCTAATCCCTTCAAAGTCTGCTGGCTATGTTTGCGGTCTGAACCAGAACGAATGCTAGACCGAAATTTTTAGATTCGACTTGCCTTATCTACAAGTGAATACCATGTATAAGTAGTAAGAAATGCGTTGTTTCCTTCTTCCTTTGTATGTAGAGCTAAGAAACAGTTGTCATTACACATTATCTGGTGAGAGAAAAGCGTAGCAAAATTCAAGAGAATGACTCCAAATTGCTTACTTTCTTTTTGTATACAGAGTGTTGGCCAATGCAATGCAAAAGCTCTTTGTCTGCCACTTCGCTTTTCTCTCAGTGTCATTATTATTCGTTTTCATTTTTTATTGGTTTTATACACAAAATCGCATTATTTCTAGTCATTTCGTCTCAGAAAAACAACTTCTATGATACAATTACGGATGATATCATTTTTGCTGTTCACACCTTCCCCTTCTCCAGTGATGACGTAATATAAGAGCAGCCTCTCGTCGGCGCCACTGAAGGGCACCATTCACGAGTACCCGCCACCATTTTTTATTCAAAACACCTTTCTCACTCGTGAAAAAAGGAACCTCAGAATTTCATAAAAGAACCGACGGAATCGGATTACCCGAGTCCGAGTACCTTTCTTCAAACTTTAATAAAAATTGTTTTTTTCGTAAAAAAGTGTTTTCTAATCCCGAAAAACGGCAAAACTCAAAATTTCAAAAAACTGATCACGGATTCGGATTCCCCGGCCCCGATTACCGTTGGTCAAACCTTATAATCAACAAGTTTTTTTTCAAAAACGTCTTGTTTACCCGTAAAAAAGTGAAAATAACAAAATTTTCAAAAACTGATCACGGATTCGGATTTCCAGACCCCGATTACCTTTGGTCAAACTTTATTGAAAACAGTGTTTTTCGTAAAAAAGTGTTGTTTTATTCCAAAAAAAAGCAAAACCCATAATCTCAAAAAACTAGTAACAGATTCGGATTCCCAGACCCCGATTACCTTTGGTCAAACTTTATAATAAACAATTTTTTTTTCAAAAAAAGGTTTTGTTTACCCGTAAAAAAGTGAA